ACACACACACACACACACACACACACACACACACACACACACACACATGCATATGAGAGTGGGGGAGAGAGAGAATTCTAATTTCCTTCTCTTAAAACTCACGATACTGGGCTGGAGAGTTGGCTCAGAGGTTAAGAGCACTGGCTGTTCTTCCAAAGGTCCTGAGTTCAATTTCCAGCAACCACATGGTGGCTGATAGCCATCTATCATGAGATCTAGCGCCCTCTTCTGGCCTGCAGGCAGAATACTATATAAATAATAAATAAATAAACCTTAAATAAATTCAAGTTTTAAAAAAAAAACAACGATACTACAGTTAAATGACTAGGTTGCAATTGAAGAAAATAAAAGATTTAGGCTGCTTTTATTTCTGACAGACAAGAGGATTTGTTGCAAGCAGTAAACCATATAATGGTTGTTCAGAGCTCACTAACCCTGAGGCAGTGATGGGAAAAATTGCCTTGATACAAAGAGGACAGTGCATGTTCGCAGAAAAGGCACGCAACATCCAGAATGCTGGAGCCATTGGTGGCATCGTTATTGGTGAGTATCCCTCTGTGTCAGTGTATTGAGTAGAAGGAGGTGATTTCCCCCCCCCCCCTAAAATCTTACCAAAGAGGGTTATCAGGTTATTTGTATTTTGACGAAATAAAGGAGAAATAATTCAACGACCTGGTCGTTTCTATAAATTTATTATCTGTTTTGAAAATCCAGATACTGGTTTCTGTATGTTGATGTCAGTGAAATTATTTGGGGTAAGGTATGAGGGTGGACTCGAGTGTTGTGCAAATGCCCCACACTCTGGAGAAGAAACTGTGCCCTTGAGACCTAGGGTCTCCAGGTAACAGTCAGACTCAGCCGCCTGCGGTGGGTGGCCTCTAGAGACGTCTGTCCGTCCACAGGGTGGCAGGCTTTGGAATCACAGCTATGTGGGTGCAGCTGGTGGCTCTGCCACAGAATGACAGCACAGCCTTGGCCCAGCTTCAGTAATTTGTTATCTTTTCTTTCTGGAAAAGAATTTTTTTTTAGCTGCATAATACTGAACATCACATAAGCACTAGTTGCTAGAACATTTTATCCCAATGGACTTTTTTCCACTGAAATTACAAAATACCAACTTTAGCTCAATTTACCCACATTTTACCTATGTGTTTCTACCTATGAATTTTGCTATTCTTACCCCCCCTTTTTTTTCTCCTAAAAAGCCATGATTATCAGCAGAAATAGAGAATGTTCTATATTTAAGGCAAAATGTTGTTTGCATTTAGAAAGAACTGAAGACTGGAATCCCACATCAGTTGTGGGCTGACCAAAAAAGTCCATTTTACATTTTTTTTTTTCTTAATTAGTTCCTATTTCTTCACTGAGAGTACATAAGACGTTTAAAAGGCTGGGGGTGGAGCTCAGTGACCCTGTTTTTTACTCTAGCATCAGGAAAAACAGAAGATACAAACACTTAAATACTGGGATTTATTTCAGTAAAAAATATTTACTATTCCTTTTGTTTATTTTATATGGGCACTAAAATATTGGTTTAAGTGATATATTTTATTAGTTAAAAAGCTTCAGGAGAAATTGTGTTTAATAATTTGAGCCCACATTTGGCAAAAGGCTAGATGTGGACCACCTCCAGCTTGTGTCTCAGTGTTGCTCAGACACAGCCACACTGATTCGTGGACACACTGTCTCAGTGGGCTTTGAGTTGCAGAGTCAGGGACTTCCAGCAGAGAACTGCAGAACTGACAGCATTCACTGTGTGGCCAGTTACAGGAAGTTTTTGCTGACTCCTGACTTATCCTTTTCTTTTGAGTGTGTATGTGTACATGTTTGTGTGCACGTACACACTCATCTGCACATGTGTTTGAGGCCAGAGGCCAATGTTAGTGTCTTGCCAGCTGTTCTCCACCCTCTGTTTGACACAGAGTCTTTCACAGGGCCCAGAGCGCCATCATTTTCTAGAACTATGAGGGTCTGCCTGTCCCCTAACTCCCTGGGCTAGGGTCACGCATGTACATCACCATGCAAGCCTGGACGCAGGAGCTAGGGGTCCAAATTCAGGTCCTCAGCCTCATGGACCTCATTCACTGTACCAGCTGAGCCATTGCCCAGCCCCTAAGTCATCCTGTTTATCTTTGGCTGTTTTCACATTGAGCCTACTTTTATTGAGGAACTTACTGTCTTGAGTATTTTGAGCATTTCTTACTTACCAAGCCCTAAAAACAGAGACTTAAAAAGTATGAAGCATAGTGGAGGGTGTGCTTCAATCTTCTGAAAATATCTTTCTGTGTGTAAGATTATCCTAGGTTCTGGGCAGAGTCTTCATGTTGTTCTATGATATATAAAGACTGTCAGGTCGGACATTTTTTTTTTTAATTTTTTAAAAATTTTTTATAATTACACTTTATTCACTTTGTATCCCCCCTGTAGCTCCCTCCTTCCTTCCCTCCTAATCCCTCCCTTCATCACCCTTCTCCACGCATGCCCTTCTCCAAGTCCACTGATAGGAGAAGTCTTTCTCTTCTTCCTTCTGATCCTAGTCTATTAGGTCTCATCAGGAGTGGCTGCATTGTCTTCCTCTGTGGCCTGGCAAGGCTGCTCCCCACTCAGGGGGAGGTGATCAAAGAGTAGGCCAATCAGTTTATGTCAGAGGCAGTCCCTGTTCCATTACTATGGAACCCACTTGGACACTAAACTATCATGGACTATATCTCTGCAGGGGTTCTAGGTTATCTCATGCATGGTCCTTGGTTAGAGTATCATTATCAGGAAAGAACCCTGTGCTGAGATTTTTTGGTTCTGTTGCTCTCCTTGTGGAGCTCCTGTCCTCTCCAGATCTTACTATTTCCCACTTCTTTCATAAGATTGCCTGCACTCTGCCCAACAGTTGGCTATAAGGCTCAGCATCTGCTTTGATAGTGTGCAGGGCAGAGCCTTTCAGAGGCCCTCTGTGGCAGGCTTCTGTCCTGCTCCCCGTTTTCTCCTTCTTCTGATGTCCATCCTCTTTGCCTTTCTGGATGGGGATTGAGTATTTTAGCCAGAGTCCTCCCTCTTGATTAGTTTCTTTAGGTGTACAGATTTTAGTAGGTTTATCCTATATTATATGTCTATATGAGTGAGTATTTACTGTGTGTGTCTTTCTGCTTCTGGGATAGTTCACTCAGGATGATCTTTTCTAGTTCCCACCATTTACCTGCAGATTTCATGATTTCCTTATTTTTTATTGCTAAGTAATATTCCATTGTGTAGAAGTACCACAATTTCTGTATCCATTCCTCAGTTGAGGGGCATCTGGGTTGTTTTCCAGCTTCTGGCTATTACAAATAAGGCTGCTACAAACTTGATTGAGCAAATGTTCTTATTGTGTACTTGAGTATCTTTTGGATATATGCCTAGGAGTGGTATAGCTGGATCTTGAGGAAGCGCTATTCCTAGTTGTTTTAGAAAGTGCCAGATTGATTTCCAAAGTGGTTGTACAAGGGACATTTTCTTTAATAGCTGTTGGTACAGAATCCTATATGGGGTTCTGTGGAACAAGAATGAGATGATATATTTTTGTTCTCTGAATTTTTAATTTTAAAGAGGATATTTAACAGGCTGGGCATGGTGTCACAAGCATTTAATCCCAGCACTGTGGATCTCTGTGAGTTTGAGGCCAGACTGGTCTACAAAACAAGTTCAGGACAGCCAGGGTTCTGTTACACAGAAAAGCCCTGTCTCGAAAAACAAACAAACAAACAAACAAACAATAACAAAAGAAAAAACAAATATATATATATATATCTTTAACATGTGTGACTTTTTTCCTCCTAAGTTTTTCTTTTCTGACAAAGCATTTTTTTCTTTTGAGTAAATTTGTTTGTTTGTTTCTTTTTACGAGGAATAAAAATACAAACTACCTTAGAAATCATTTGACTGCAGCAGGTAATAATTTACTTGTTATTTTAAGAAGGGAGGCTGTTTACTGTTTGAAAAGTGATAATTCTCATTCAGCCCAACAGTAAGACGTAAAGCTGGAATTTACCCAGGGCTACGTGACGTGCAGTTGTCATAGCCAACAGTTTTCACCTTGGGTCTTCTGTATCTGCCTCCTGTGTAGCTCCTCAGGCACCGGCTCCCTCTTCTCCCTCTCTTTCCCAAAAGGCAGCCAGGCCCTCAGTCTGTGTCACTTACGTGGACTCTTCGCCACCACTAGCAGAAACAGTCTTTTTGCCTGGCAGTTGTAGGATCGTGGAGGGATGGGTTCAGCCGGCCATCCTTTGTCTGGTCAGCCGGTACTAGTTGCCACCTAGCTGGGCCTGTGAAGCAAGAGATATGGGGCGGGATTGTCCTGTTCCTCAGGGAGGCTGCTGTGTGGTATTGGTAGTGGATGTGATTAACACTTACACTGACAGAGAATTTAACTGATGTTTAACCAGTGTGAAATAACAATACTGTTTAATTCAGCTTCTTACCAGATAAGTAATCCCTGGTCTAAAAATTTGTGATTGCAGAGCATTTAAAATTTTTGAATTAGGGATGTTCAAATTGTAACAGATCCATTAGAGGAAGTCTAAAAGTTCATTCATAGTTGTACCTGTGTGATCCAGGTCATTAAAATCTTTCATTTGTAGGTTTTTCCATAGTCATTTGAAAATATTTCAGTCATAGTCATAAAAATTTTGTGTTCTGTGTTTTTATGTACTGTTTTCTGTGTGCAAGTAATTTGCTATAATTTATTGAAAGTGGTTTATAATTATTCAGCCCAGTAAATTTCTTTGAGGTTAGAGGTTTTGCTGCTTTCAGTTATTTCCTTAGAGTAAATCATAAAGTCAGTTAATCTAAGGATTATATTTGTTTTTCTGGTGCATAAAAGTGTTTCTGTCAGTGGGCGGATGCCCTCATGGCCTCTCTGTTTTCTGGCCAGATGACAACGAGGGGAGCAGCAGCGACACCGCCCCTCTGTTCCAGATGGCGGGGGACGGAAAAGACACGGACGACATAAAGATCCCCATGCTGTTCTTGTTCAGCAAAGAAGGGAGCATCATACTGGATGCCATCCGGGAGCATGAAGAGGTGGAGGTGCTCCTCTCCGACAAAGCGAGAGACCGAGGTAACGCTGGGGCTAGCGTGTGAGTCCTCTTAGCCCAGAGCAAAAATGGGAACAAAAGTGACATAGGCCTTTTTTTTTTTAACTTTGTAAAGCAAGTAAAAATTTCTGATGGTGGTTTAGAATTTTTCTCTTAAAAATAATAGTAATTTATTAATATTAGCATTTATTTTTACTATTTTATAATTAAATTATGTAATGTAAGTTAAATTATAAATAAGTTCTTTTATAATTTACTATTAATATAACTTATTAATAGTATTTTATTATTATAAATAATAAAACATTATTTTTGCTGGCTGACTTGGACTGCATTTAGAATTATATGAGAGGTGTGATATACAATATGATAGTTACGGTCTTACCAGCAAACCTGTACTGTCATGTCCATTCTTGGTGAAGGCAGTAGAAATGGAGCAGCTTGTCCCTGCTGCCATCTACAGAAGTTACAAATGGGTTTTCCTGGGGAGCAAGAGATTTAATTCATAAGAATATATAATCTTGCCTAGGCTGAAGTGTTGTTAGTAATTTGAAAATTCTCTGAAACCACCCTATAAAGGCTGTACAGTTTTCACACCTGAGGATATGGAAGAGCTAGGGGAAGAGAGCAGGCAGATGTAGGCTATGATCCTTCTCCTGGTGGCAGTCTCTCAGAGGAAGCACCTGAAGAGGGAACTGTCCTTTCCCATCTCCATTACATGATTGGCAGTGTATGATATGTATGGGCTTGTATAGCCCATAGGGTGTTGACAAATATTCAAAAACCAACTTAATTCAGTGTGATTTCCAAATGAGACATTTTTTTAATGCTCACAGGACAATGTTATTCTAAGCAGTGTTTTGTGTTCTTATATTGCTTTGTTCTTTGAGAGTCTTTGAATTGTCAGCTGTTTAAGAGCAGTGGAATGAGTGATGGGGTGTGTAAGGACGTAGAGATGGAGACAGACTACAAAGAGCTGCTGATCTTCTCAAACCTCCTGTGTACTTGGTTTCTTCTTTCCTGGGGCCCTTTTTCAAAATTCACACCCTTCCTACTTTGCTATTCATCAAACACAGGCAAAATAATATTACTCTGTATAACTCTGTAATGCCTTTGCTTTTCCCCCTGTTCTGTGCTACCATTGGAATTTCAGCAGCCATATTAAAAGGTAAAATGATTCCAAGCTACATTATTAACAGTAGTAAGTATCTTGCATTAAAAAACAATTATATATGTATGTGTGTTTATTATACACACATACATATATAATTTTGTTTTAATAAACCAGTTATATATATAATTTTGTTTCACTGAGTACCATGATAATATATGACTTAATGTAATTAATAACTTTCCTATCTAGTCAGTTTTCCCATGATAATAATTCTTCATCGATCCTGCCATAATCAATTCTATTTATTATATATTCAATACTGTAGATGAATTCACTAATCCATACCCATGCAAGAGTCACTCTAACAGCAGCATTGTTGCATAAGAAATTATTGCTTTGGATCATCTTTTACATACAAAGTAAAATATTTAAAATATTGGCTTGTTTTTTAAGTTCCTGTGGAGATAAGGGGCACATTTGGGTTAAGACTGTATGATTGTGGTAAAGAAAGTGTTCTCCACACCAGGAAAAGGGTAGTTAAAACAATCAGTTCTACTAGGTAAACAAACAAACAAACAAACAAACAAAAAACACTTGCTAAGGAATAGTATTCCCTTAAAAACTCTTCAGGAAGAAGACATTATGCAAATGATATTTAAAACACTTTGATGGTCCATGACTTTTTGTTTTTGTTTTTTGTTTTTCAAGACAGGGTTTTTCTGTGTAGCCTTGGCTGTCCTGGACTTGCTTTGTAGACCAGGCTGTCCTCGAATTCACAGAGATCCACCTTTCCTCTGCCTCCCCAGTGCTGGGATCACAGGCCACCGCACCTGGTGAGCTGTTTATCTTATAGTGCTTCTTTGATAAAAGGTTTTAAAGTTTGTATATATAATAGTCCTTTGAGAAATGTACAACTGTATTAGAGAAACCAACAAGTTATAATTAATATTTATCACTGTAAGACAAATCAGTGATACTGATTCAGTCAGATCATCTAGTTTATTCACTTAGGATAATCTAAGGAGTTAACCTCAGTGTAGTTATCATTAACGTATCCCATATTGTTACGGTCTCATGGGCTTCCCTGGTACCCAGTGTTGGTTGATGCAGTTGTTAGAAGTGAAGGCCCCAGCGTTCTCCGCTGTGCTGAGTAAGATCCTAAGCCCGGATCAGAAGCCCACACTTAAGACATACTTGCAGGCAATTGTAGTGCATCAGCTCTTCCCCTGCCCTTTGACAGAAATGGAAGGAGACCCAGATGACCTGCTGTCTCCTACCTAGCCCTGTATCACGAGTTCTAGTTAGAGTTATGTAAGTACCCTCAAGTAATAAGCACCTAATCTAAGCAGCAAAATGTCTTCAAATCATTTTTCTAAATTGAAGTCACATTGCTTGCTGATTGCGAAGTCCTCTGCATTTATAACACAGGAAGTAGAAGCCCCAGACAAGTTCCCTCTTATCCCTGTCTTTTTCTGATAGGTTTCACTATTAGGATGTATATATGTAGTTCCTTCTATCTAAGGATAGCCTTGTTCGTGGACAGATGGCCCTCTGCCTGGAGAGGAGCAGCCCAGAATTGTGGTCAGGAAGCCATGCATCCTGCTCTCTTCTCTCAAAGCAGGCCATGTTTCTGTGTGGATTTACCTTAATCTGTTTTTCACATCCCTGTTGTTCTTTTCCTCTTTGAGAAGTTCAGCCATTCTATTACCAAATCAAATGCCACCTTTTGTGTCCTTTTTTTCCTCTTTCTTGGCAGAATATGAGTTTTGTTGTTCTTTTTTTTTCAGTATAGTTTAATGATTGGTTGCATGACTGTTTATTACATAGCTCTTCTTACCTGTGTGAGCTTTTTCCAGTTACTATAGAAAGTGCTGCTGAATGAGGTATTGTGTAACATTCAAACTTTTTTTTAAGTTTTTTAAAAAAAATTTATGTGTCTTGGTGTTTTGCCTGCATGTGTCTGTGTGAGGGAGTCAGATCCCCTGGAACTGGAGTTACAGAGAGTTGTGAGCTGCCTTGTGGGTGCTGGGATCGAACGGGTCCTCTGGAAGAGCAACCAATGCTCTTAACTCCTGAGCCATCTCTCCAGCCCAACATTCACTCTTATGTCTTCCCCACTATTACCTTCTCCTTTTATTAGTAAGGCCCACTGGTGTTCTTTGGGTTCTCTCCAAAGTTCTTTGTTTCTTGTGTTTCTGATATGCCATTTCTGAATCAATGTTGTACCCTTTAGACTGGCAACAGGTGCCTTGGAGTGAAGGGATAACAACATGGCTAACCTTGGCTTCTTTGAAGCTTTGCTCCTCTTAAAGCCCGGGCTAAATTAGTTGCTGCTCCTGCCTGTTTCTTCTCCACAGGAGTTTATAAGCCAGATAGGCAGCACTTGTACTTCTGTTCTTCTAACCTATTTGCTTATTTCTATGCCAAGTAATTCAAAAGTTTTGTTTTGAATACATTTCATATGATAGTTGTTCCCTTACTGACTCTGTTTAGAATTTCAATTTTCTGTAATTCACAAACTAAAGGTAAAAATGAGATTCATTTCAGAGTCATGTATTTGCATACTCTTTATAGATAGTAGAAGTTAAATGTGACAACTTCCTGTTCTGGAACATCTATCCATGTAATGAGCTCTTACTCTTCACTATAACTACGTTTTTAAGCAATGTGAGCCTTATACCTGTCATAATTTTGTTTTATAGGTTTTTATTTATGTTATGAAGCAATGCATCATTTCACTTTTAGCTGCTGGTGCTTCCATACTGGTTCTTGCACATATTTTAGCTTTCTTTACCAACTTTATTAACATTGGTAGTAGTCCTTAAAATTAGAGTTGCATTATATCTTAGAGTTTCTATTGCTGTGAGGAGACACCATGACCATGGCAACTCTCAAAACGGAAAACATTTAACTGCAGCTGGCTTACAGTTTTAAAGGTTTAGTTCACTAGTGTCATGGCAGGGAGGGTGGCAGCATGCTCGCAGACATGGTGGTGCAGAGAGGTAGCTCAGGAGGCAGCAAGAAGAGAGAGTGACACTGGGCCTGGTTTGAGCTTCTGAAACCTCAAAGCCCTCCCCCACTTCCTCTAACAATGCCACACCTGCTATGGCCAGGCCACACCTCTTAATAGTGCTCTCTCTCTGGGCCTCTGGTGGCCATTTTCATTCAGACTACCACACTTTAGTTTCAGTAAAAACTATAGTCATAGTCTAAAAATAGGGGTAATACCTGTATTTCCTTTCTCTGTCTCTACCGCTTACTTATGGCACTTGGGTAGACGGCAGAATAATCCTGCCCCACACATAACTCGGAAGGGTCTCAACCAAAAGCAGTCTTTATTACTAGATGGGGCACCCCTGCCCCCGCCCCATCCTTTTAGCATAACACAGTTCAAAGAGAAACTCAAGGACTTTGTCGTTCCCCTTGAACTTACTGTCACCTAACATAGTGAGTTCTGAGCTCCCTTTTCTTATCTCACCTCCACAATTCCTAACTTTTTACTTAATTGTGCCTCTTTCACCGCCCAGAAAACTGATAGTAAAATAAGGAAAAAATAAAGCATTGCTTTTTAAAAAAAAGAAAGAAAACTTAGATGTCTGAACCTTCAGTCTCCCCCTGCAAACAAACAAACATAGAAACCCAACTGTGGTAGTTACTTTTCTGTTGCTGTGATAGAAACCATGACAAAGGTAACTTAGAGAGCGTCCACAATGGCAGCCACAGCAGGGCAGCAGGCTGCCGAGAGAGCACATCTTCAGCCTTAACCAGGAGACAGAGAAAGAAAACTGGAAGTGGGTCTGGGCTATGAAACTCAGAGTTTACCCCTAGTGAAGGACGTCCTCCAGGAAGACCTCAACTCCTGAACTCTACCAGATACACCACCAAGTGTCAACATTTAAGCCTGTGTGTGAGCAGTCTTATTTAAACCATCACACCATCCAAAGACTAAGAACCTGCCCTGGAGAGAGTGAGCATGCGAGCACGTGTGCGTACAAACTTCCCTCGTGTGGTGATCCTACCCGAGAGGGTGACTCACGCACTCACCTGTGCTTGCCTGCTTGCCCACATTCCTTCAGGGCTTGGTTTGCTTCTGTGGTACATCTGTCTTCTCTCCTGCTCTGAGCCCAGGCTCGGCTTACTTTCCAGAGGAGCCCTCGGATGTTGCTGCTGCAAGCTTTCCTAGTAGCACATGCCTCGCTCCCTTACTAAATGTGGGACTTTTCACTTAGTGTATACATGTATATGTATGCATACCGTTTCCGGTTTTTGCGGATATCATTTTCTCACTGCGCTGTAAGATGCTTAAAGGCAGGCCTAGTGTTAGCGTTTGTGCCTCGTTTTCTCTCTGGCACTAGACACAGTGGGTACCTGGGAGAGTTCTCCTGCCTGCATTGCAGAAACAGGCCAAACAGGATGGGGCCCATAGGTGACAAGGCTGTTTAAATACTTAATTATGGGAACTCAAAGTAAAGTGCTTCCAGGACTTTTTTATATTTTGTAATCATCACAAAAACTTGACCTGCTGTGGCTCCTAGAGAATTGTAGAATAATTGTTTAAAGTTCATAGATATGTAGTAATAGTTTTTGAATAATCTCAGTTCTTGCCTTTATGAAAATATTTTAGTTGATAAGTCATATTAATACCTGTAACCAATCACTGAGTGGTAATTTCACTTTTCCAGAAATATGATTTCAAGTTTTAGCAGTGATCTGTGCTATTAAAACTTATTTACTTAGGATGTTCTTATGTGCAAGCTTTCTTGAATATAAGTATTAATAAATTGTGTGTGTGCCTGATTGTATGTGCAGGTGTGTGTTTGTGTACTCATGCTTGTGCATGCTCATGGAGACCACAGGATCCTTTGGAATTGAAATGAGGTATCTGTGAGACCCCAGCTTGTTTTCTGGGTACTGGGATCCAAACTCTTGTCCTAATAATTGTCCAGCAAGCATGCTTAGCCACTGAGCCATCTCTAGCCATGATGTTTAATCAATTTTAGTCATATGTTAAAATTTTATATGCATTTTAACATTTTTGTTTAGTGATTTTGTTAGTTACTAATATTCATCTAAGTGATTATGCTATTAAATATTATTATTCCTTTTCATTTGAAGTGACATTTATTTTCACTGCCAGCACATTCTACCAATAGCTACACAGAAAATGCGATTGTAAGATCTTGACTTCAGTGCCGCTGTTTAATGTTCTGCATTGATATGACTCTGCTTTATTTCTTAATGTTATTGCAAAGACAGGTGACTTTGTGAGTGCAGTGTGCTTTTTAAGAGGGAGAGTGACCCGTTTGTTTCTTTCCTGTGCAGATCCTGAAATGGAAAATGATGACCAGCCATCTTCTGAAAATGATTCTCAGAATCAAAGTGCGGAGCAGATGCTGTCACTTCCTCAGACAGTTGACTTGGTTGATCAGGAGACCCCTGAAAACCCTCCAGAGTCTGACTCAGAGTCACCCTCTCCAGCAGAAACTGAAGAAGCTGCCAGCGTTGCCCCTTCTGAACAGATATCTAGTTCCACAGAAAGCCATGAGACTACAAGTCTTGATGGTGAATGTACAGACTTAGATAACCAGCTTCAAGAACAATCAGAAACTGAGGAAGATTCCAGTCCTAATGTCAGCTGGGGTACAAAGGCCCAGCCTATAGACTCCATATTAGCAGACTGGAATGAAGACATAGAAGCATTCGAAATGATGGAGAAGGATGAACTATGACTCCACAAAGACGCTGGTGGTAGATATTTAAAAAGAAGCAGTAAACTGTGGTTTTTGACACCCTATATACCAAGCAGGCTCTCCTGGGAGGCTCTGAGCTTTGCTCAAGCACATTCTGACTGGGGTAAGTAGTTACCGTAGGGAACTGGAGCATGCTGTGTTAGAGCTGACCTGACTGAAACTCTTCCATGCAAAGTGGAAACTCACAGCCCCTCAAATGATGGTATATTACATACCCTGCAGCTCCCAGGTCAGGGAAAGATGACTGGCCATTCCTGGGTAAACAAGAAACAAATTCAGCTAATGGAAAGTGGGAACAAGAGTCAGTGCAGTTTTCTAACTGAAGGAAGCTTCGCTGCCGTGGGTTTGGGGTCAGAAGCTCTTTGGGGAAGATGTGAATGAGTACTGTGGTATTCTGGCTTTGCTGCCTTCACAGGAGCACTCTAAGTGACCTGTGGGTTGTGAGGCAGATGCATTCATGGTAACAACAGTTTCTGCTCATTGCTTTCACCTGCTTCATTCAGTGACAAATGGCCAAGACGACTTGATTTCTTTTTCTCTCCCAACAATGTCCTTAGCATTTAAACCAAAGGTGAAGTTAGTGAGTTTTCTCTATAAAGACATACTATGGGGCCAGGAAGAGGGTCAAATAGATATTGTGGAAATTGGCTGCTTAGTGCTCGGGGTAAATAGAGAGAAGGAAAAACTGTGATGTTGCAATATCAGCTTCCCATTGGGCTGCCGTCGGGGAAGCTATGACTACTCTAAATAGAAATCAGCATTAGATCCTCGTGGGGCAGATTGTCTTTTTTAGTTCATTTATCTTAAGGTGGTTTTACTCTAGCCATCAGCCTTACGCCATCCCACGTTCAGTGTGCAGTTTGAGCCAGGAGGCTCATCTCCAAGTCCTGTTCTAGCTCCCTATCTCACCGAGCCATGATAAACCGTGGTAGCAGTCTGTAATCCCGGGGTGACTGCTGTCTTTCTCCTTTGAAGCTGGTTTCTAACATCACACCTAAGGAGTCTGTCATATTTTCTGTTTAATCATGGATTTAGGTTTGTTTAGTTCTGTTTTAACAAAAATTCCTCCTGATGTGGACTTGAAAATTAGTCTCTGGTGACCTGTGTAAAAAACTATATAGCCATATAAGTAAAGGAAAAATATTTTCTTTCCTTTTTTTTCCTCCCCACCCTGTGGCAGTCTGGAGCTGGCCACATTTAATTATTTTGGGTTTTGCCTATTGATACTTATACATTGAAATCATGGTTTTATTAATTTTATTTATTTTCAAAATTGTTTTACTTACTTCTAAAGGACTATTTGAGAGACTTAATTCCTTTTTACCATGGCATTACACAATAACCTTTCTCTAAAACATGGTTTTGAGGTACTGAATTACTTAGACTATTTATGGAGCTGTTAACGACAGCAGTGCTGTGTGGTATTTGTGTATATTCATGTACAGTATGTCTTAGGTCCCAGGCAAACATGCCCTTTTATAAGGAGATAGTTACCTGCTTTCAAAACTTCCAGCTAAACAAAATTTGTCACTGAATAATAAATCTTAGAGAACTCATTGGGCTTCGGGGTAGGAAAACAAGACCTTTATTGGCTTGTAGTTAAAACTGACACCAAAATGGGTATTTTTAGTCTCTCTGCATGTGAAGTTTGGTGCGAGAAGATAGAACCTGAACACATAGAATAGACAGAAGGGTAGATATACTTTCTTCTTCATTGCAAAGCTGCCAAAAGAGCTGAAGCTTAATTACTTAATTTATAGGACTGGGGCTTGGAGAAAAGGAACAGATGCTCCTCTGAGACTTGGATTACAGAAGCCTTATATGTATTGATTTTGTATTTGTAGCTCAAAGCCATTGTTGTCTAAATCTAACTCTTTTAAGTTATCACAGCAGCATTTTTTTTTCCCCTCAAGAATTTAATGGCATGAAGGATCACATGACACACTAGGAAAAGCCAGCTTACTGCCACTTGCCATTCTTTTATTTATTTATTTTTTTATTTATTACAATTTATTAACTTTGTATCCCAGCTGAAACCCTCCCTCATCCCCTCGCAATCCCGCCCTCCTTCCCTCTTCTCCTCCCATGCCCCTGCCCCAGTCCACTGATAGGAGAGGTCCTCCTCCTCTTCCCTCTGACCCTAGCCTATCATGTCTCATCAGGACTGGCTGCATTGTCTTCCTCTGTGGCCTGGTAAGGCTGCTTCCCCATCAGGGGTTGGTGATCAAAGAACCAGCCACTGAGTTCATGTCTGAGACAGTCCCTGGCCATCTGGGGTTTCACTTGCCATTCTTTTGGCCACTAGGAGGCACTGTGGCCCTTCCTTAAGGTTTAAATGCACCTATCGATTGTTCAGAAAACCAAATCCTTTAAAGAAATAAATGTAAAATGTTTTACTTAATATCTAGGAGGAATGATACTCAGTTTTCCCCTATTTAAGAAAGGAAGTATATGTTCAGCTTCAAAACACAACATTCTAACTGATTCTACATTCATTTTCTTATTTGACATACTGCCACAAAGTAGTCTTTGAGTTCATTAGAAAATTCCAACAGCATAGATTTTTTTTAAATGTTTTTTTCATTGTTGTTGTTTGTTAAAAAAAAACCTTTCATAGGTATTTTATTTACTTGCTGAAGATTCAGGGAATTCTGAGACCCTGAGTTTAGAAACATCTGGTCTACCTCAGTTAAATGTTGACTGCTTAGAAATAGAGCTGAAATGATCACCACAGCCATAAAATTGTTTGACTAAGAAAGATTTATATAATGTTTACAAACCTGGAATCAAGTACGGATCTTACCTGAAAGCTAAAAGTTAGCTGTTAGAGCAAGTATTTAATTCAGGTATTTTCAAGTTTTAAAACTTGTTTACCTAGTCAAATTAGGTATTGTTTTTATTTTTCTTCACATAAAACTCCATTGAAATTGTATGCCCTAATTTGCAATATTTTCCCCATAAAATTTAAGTGTGAAAGGAGTATAATTTACTAGATATGTTTGGGGTGGGGTATTTTGTTAACTAGGTTCTCTTTTTTCTTTTTAACCTCTGTAATAAGCTTCCAAAAGAGTACAATTGTTTCAGAACAAATTTTTTTTTGTAATTTGATTTTTTTCCTTTTTCTTTACAGTGTTAGATATTTTTAAATGAAAAATTATGCACTCTCTGACTTTAATTTCACTGTTGTAATAATTTTCTCGGGAATCTTTTAGATTTAAATTCCCATCATATAAACCTTTCTTATAGCAAAGCCAGCATTTGTTCTCTCACCAAACCCCATGCCAGATTCATCATAAAGAAAGCTCAGCCTAAGTAATTCAAATAGTGCTTATAATTTTAGAGGGGTGGGTAGCATTTAGTCAATATTCCAACTGGTCGTTTTATGTACAAGGCTACAGTCAGAACATAGAAAAAAAAAACATTCTGTGAATGAAACATTGTATGTTCAGATTTTATAAAAGACATTTTTAAAAGCCCAATTTACAGCCGTATATTTTCTTATGATGTAATTTCTGAAAAAGCTGTCTGTACTAACAGGTGCTGTAACACTACTGTTGTTGGGTTTTATTGTTTGGTGATAAATGTGTACAATATTTCTAATGGAAACTATGTACTGTGATGTAAAAGTCTGGGCAAATGTATATAATCCTTGTATATAATTGTGTATTTGATTATATTACTGATTGTAAATTTAATAAAACATGTAAATATTCCGGTCTAGTTTTAAATTTTGAAGTTTTAGAATTATTGTACATATGTCTAGAATTTGGTATCTGTTTTCCTTTTGTTTCTCTTTACCCCAGGGCAGTGAATTTGGGGACATTTTGGGGTATAGGAACCCAAGCAAACATCAATTCTAAAATTCAAATATTGTCTAGTTCAAACTAGAGTTAAAAAAAACTAATAATTCTGTGCCAATGTTGGTAACATTTATGTCTTGAATTTACTTATATTTAATAAAATTACTTGTTCTCTTTTAATATCATTATCAAAAGTAGCTTTATTAAAGCTGGATATGGTGACGCACACCTGAAATCCCAGTACTCAAGAAGGCAGAGGCAGGGAGAGCTCTCTGAGCTTGCGGCCAGCCTGGTTTACATGGAGAAACCCGTCTCGGAGGGTGGGGACAATGTAGCTTTGTCATCATCGAGGCAGGGAGTGGTAGCCATTAAACAAGACAGCACGACTGAGGGCTCCCATCTAGGAAACAGCAAGGACAGGAGGGTGGGCAGGAGGCTTTTGAAGCCTCAGAGCACCCCCCCCCCCCGTATCACTTCCTCTCGCAAGGCCACACCCCCCCACCTCCACAAACAGTTTCACCTACTAGGAAATGGTGTTGAAATGCAGGGAGGGTAGTGGTGGGCCATCTCATTGAAACCACCACAGTAGCCCTGGCCCTTCTGTGTTCATCCCAAGAAGCCATTTTCTTTCAGCAGCACTCTGCGTGCCGCTAAACTGCTGTGCTGTCCCAGGATCTCTGAGCAGATACATTAAAAACTGCATAACGATCCTTACCAGTTGTAAGACTTGAACAAGTTCCAAACGTCGTGCTCACAGAGCGGAGTTCAGTGGCTGGGCAGTGGGGGGGAGCTCTTGACTGCAGAGGCCAGCCTCGGCTGCTCTCTTCCTTGCCCTCTTCCTTGCTTCCCCGGGCCCTGCTTCTCCCTCCAGCTTCCGCCCGCCCTTTGCTCAGTCACTTTCTCTTCCTACTTGGCATGTCTGCCTTTTGAGATTGAAGGTCAGTAGTGATAGCGCCTGTTCTGGGGATGTCTGGGTCATTAGTCCAGCCTCACTGTGTCCCCCACTCTTCCAGGATGATGAAGGTATTGCTGCTGCACCCTGAGCCTAGGTAAAGCAAGCTTCGAGCTCCATCTACTAGGAGTGAGTCCTTTAAGAGTTCATGGAGAAGAGTAACTCCAAGGACCGCCCTGCTAAGAAGGCATAGGTACTTAGCAGAACTAACTTGATTAGTCTTGCTTCTGTGCTGGGCTTAATTACCGTCCACTGTCTTCAAAGGGAACGCTACCGCTGGACCTCTTGAAGAATGGACCTCTGTAAAAGAACGCACTCCTGTAGGTCACGGTGAGAGAGCTCAGGTAGACATCGTGCAATACTCTGCAGCGCGGGGACCTATACTGCCAGTTACATCTTACTCACAGCAGCAGGCAATGCCGAAGCAATGTCAAGGTTTACGCTAGCATGTGGCTTCTCAGAGCCAGAGCTTCCTCACACG